ATATCCCATCAGCTGCTCCTGCCGTTCCCTGGGGAGAGGGAACAGAAGGCAGTGCTATTAGCCTCAGAGTCACCTCCCTCCTGCTATGCCCCAGCCTGCGTGATGCCCCCACTTTGGTGAGCAGCAGGGCCAGCAAGAACCGGAGGGATCAAGAGCTCACGGCAGAAGATTGCCTCGACTGCCACTTGGGTGCCTCGGTCCAGCCCAGAGTCCCGCTTTACACCCACACGAACCCCTATCTGCCCAAGGGGTCTTCTCCGAAGGTCTCCCCCACCTCAGATGTCCATACCTGAAGCAGGCCCCCACACAGCCCTGCCTCTTTGCCTGCAGCTTGGGGCTGGGCGGCTTGGCACTGGGGTCCACAGCCTTGGGCCCGGGGCCCTGCACAAAGTGCACTGGGCTTCGGGGTCCAGGGGATGCAAACAAGTCCAAATGAGGTGTGCGTCCACCCTGGGCCTCCCCGTCAGAGGCACGGGATGCTAATGACCTCATTAAGATTCAGATAACGAGGGCCGCCGGCAGAAGGGAGGACTCGGTTCCTTAAAGGCCGGGCACTAAACAGGGGGAGGGGCTGCGCCCTTGTTTACACAGCGGCAAATGAGCCAATTAGGGGCTAGGGGCGGGGGCCCGACGCCTACGCCAGGGCCTGGCCAGGTTCGCAGCCACCTGGTGAACCGGCTCTAGCAAGGCCTGGGCAGAGCTGCTGGGCGGGGCGACACGCAGAAGCACCGCCTCCTCCACGAGCCCGGGTTCCTAGCCTCGCCTGATTTCCAAATTATTAATAAAGCCCATGGCGGTGGCGGTGGTCAATACAGCTGCCAGGCTTCCGCCTGCGGGCTGGTGGAGGGTGACTTGAGGCTGGGGGGAGGATGATCCTAGCACTGCCCAGCTCTCTATGGGAGAAGGGAGTGACTCTCCAGCGCTGGCCAAAGTTGCAAACCATTCCCGGGCCAGAAATCCGCTCTCCAGCGACCCTAGGCGACCCCCGCCCCCACCCTTGGGCGAACCCAGGGGAGTTCCACCATGCCTGGGGGCCCGGGCCGGGGCCTAACTCCAAAGTTGCATGGCATTGCAACAGCCTGCGTTTTAAGTCTTTGGGGACCCATTATGCAACATGGCATCAGCCGCTGACATGGTTATAGGGTGGTGAACTCCCAGGTGGAACCTGGACAGGATCCCTTCTCGGTGCCCCCCTACATCGCAGGAGAGCAGCTTCCCTGCTGGTCGCTTGTTCCAAGGGTCTAGAGTTTACAGTTTTAGCGCCAAACGCGCCACAGGAAATAATGCAAAATAAAAGGGGGAGGAGGGATGGAAGGCAGCGGTGTGGCCCAGCTCCGCGGGCTCTTGCCGCTCCTCCCCTCCTCGATCGCCCTTCCCCCTTCTGTCCTCCCCGAAACAGAGAACTGCAGCCACCGGCGGTGAATCCAGCTGCAGCAGCTGCAGCGTGACAAGCATCTGTGCCCACGATGAGCCCCTCGTCAGAAGCCACCCCTCCACCACCAGGCAGTGCCCATCCCACACCCTTTGGGCCAAGCTCCCCCTGCCCTGAGAATAGGGTCCAGACCCACCAAGCAGCCTAGTGGGAGGTGTGAAGGGCACGCCGCTGCAGAAAGAATCTGCCCCCTGCCAATCCCAAGCTCCCTGGGGGGTGAGTGTGGCAACTTAAGGCCTTGTCAACTTTTCTCCAGTCCCCAACAGGTTAAGTTCAGTTCCGTGACGTCCGGTGGTTTCACAATGCCAGCTCCCTTGGAGCTGCCCCGAGAGTTGCCCGTGCCAAGCGGCCAGTGGCAGCAGGAAAGCAACACCTAGGCTCAGGGGGTGGGGCTTCAAGGTAGCGAAAGGAGGGGGGCCGGCAGGGAACCAGGCACAGCCCCAACTTCTCCGCGCAGCTGTAGGGCCACCCGCACGCACCCTTCCCAGTTTCCCCCAGACACAGCCTCTCCTTCTCCGGCCCTGCCC